GCGCACGCAGTGCTGCTCCCCAGACCATCAAGGCCCTCAGAAACAAGGAAAGTCAGAAACTGTGACAGTTAAGAGGAGCGCAAGGAGACAGGACAACGAAACGCCGCCTGGCAGCCTGTGACAGTGGGGAAAATGAAGAAACCCTGAACAGGGGAGAGTCTCCCGCTGACCATCAAGTCATAAATCCTGGCTTATGGGTTATAACAAGTGCACCATACAGATGCGAGAGTGGAAGTTGGGGTGGGTTACTGGGGCTCCACATTTTGCTCTCTACTTTTGCAAGCTAAAGTCTATTTGTTTAAAAATCAACAAGTCGTAGCAAAAGCCACACAAGAGGCACAACTTACCGGGCGCGCTCCTTCTCCTGGGCCCCAGGAGTAGCTACGGAGACGGGCAGCTTCCCACCTGGGCCGTGCTGGGGTGGCCGAGGCAGACAGCCCTCCAGGCCACGTCACAGCCACATTCACACAAGCAGAAGTGAAAGTCACTTGCCAGCCGCTGGCTATTTATGACAATCTCCTCCCTCAAACACCGTTTAGTGCTATTTCCTCCCTTTATTGAAACTTAAGTTGTACATGAGTTGAGGACCTATATCTTCTTTGCTCTATCACTACAAGCAGGCAGATATTAGCCAGTTTTCCCTTTTAAAATAAACTGCAGCGTTTTTTTCTTTGAAGGTGGAAGTTAGTTAGCTCTGGCTTACCTGAGCAGGGCAGACAGAAAATGCCCCGGGCCTGGGTGGGACCCAGCCCCCCTATACTGGAGAACTGGGAGAGGGGGAGATGGGAGACGGTGATGAAAAACTGACTGGAAATTCAGTCAAAGCCAAACAGTGTTGGGTCATTGGGTTGTAGAAATGACTGTCCGATGCAACTTTCAATTAAGTTTCTGAAACTTAAATTTAACATCTGCATTAGAAAAAGAAAAAATGGAAAAGTAAATATGTTTACAGTGCTGTCACGGAGAGAAGAAAGAAACCGGTCCCCTCTGTTGGGTCTGGCAGCCCGACAGCCACGTCTAGCTCAGGGCAGTGGTGGGTTTTTGAGCCTTCGGCTTCAGGTAGCATTTGATGTTCAAAGGTGCACTAGCCCTTGAGGCATGTTTCTAGCCTAAACTGGGAACCCAAGACGCCAAGAGGCCAAAAAGGAATTGAAGATAAATAGTTAGACTGCAGTCTTAGAGGTCTGTGAACTTTTGGCCAGACAGAGCGCCCCTCCAGAGCAAAGTGGGCAGGTGAAGCTGCCCTCCGGCTGGCCTCCGCCGCGGCCGCGGCCTCCCGCGCGCGGGCTTACGGCGCCCTCTGCTGGCTGTTTCGTTCTTTCGACAGTTAACGCTTTTTTTTTTTAATAAATTTTTTTTCTAAAGATTTATTTATTTATGCATACAGAACTGGGGTACAGGCCAGAGGTAGAGGGATGGTGGTCCAGAGACAGCGTGGGGCGCAGAACAGGTAGATGTACTGAAACACACTGCTGAGAGGAGTAGCGGGGTGGTCAGGAGAGGTCTGCTGCGCCCCGGGGGTCACCGCGGGGAGGGGGTGGCAGTGGGCCGGGATCCGGCTCCTGCTGAAGGGCTTTAGCTGCTTAGTGCTGTGCTTAACCCGCTGCGCCACCAGGGAGGGCTCTAAAATCTATTTTTCTCACATCATTCTTCATTTTCATACAACATATGCTTGATCATCGTGGTGTGATCCCCGAGGAGTTCCCACTACCTGCTCACTGGGCACCTCCCTGTAGCCCCCCACCCCGACTCCCGCGCCCCCCCCAACCTGTGTTGACCCAATGTCCTCTCCGCCTCCAAGAATGTCTCCTGTTTACAGCTGCCTGTTGACTTTGCTTTTTAGGTTTCAGGAAAACATAACCCCACGCCCAGCCACCAGACTGACAGAAGTTGGGGTTTGGCTTGTAGGTCTGGGGACACCTCCAGAGGATGGTGATGGCGATAACAGGTGTCATTCACCTGAGGGCACGTGGACTCCCATTTGCTCCTCCCCCTGCATCGCCACTCCAGCCCTCTCAGAAGCCCACATCCCCACTCTCGTCGGGCGTCCAGGCGCGGCCTCTGGACATCAGCCCTTCCCCTCGCGCTGCAGCCCAGGTGGGCCCGCGAGTCTCC